GTTCGCTCTGCCCTCGCGCTCCGTTTGACAGGGCGCTGCGCCTCGCGCGCTGCTTATAATAAACTTGGCAGAGCGCGAGACAATAGCGAGGCGGTGGTCTAGTTTCCATGACAATGCCACCAGTGGATGAGCGTGCACACGGACGGCCCCCTCCCGCCGCTCACTGCACCGCCCACGCGCTCGCAGGTGTCAGAGTTAAATAATCCGGGGTCTCTTCATTTAAAACCGGTATAAAATCGGAGCTTCCTTTATCGGACGTATCTAAATTCGGTGAGTCCAGTCTTACCTCTGAGCAAAAATATGACCGGAATCATGCGTCAGTGTTTAAAATACCACATTTTAGTGACCCATAACTCTAATTTGCGTTTATTATTAGATTAATCGGGTCCCAGTCGAACCTTGAGGACAATTTTCAGCCAAGACATGTGCTTGTCGGCGCAGTGTTTGCATCCCCTACCTTAGTTCTCTTCTACGCCACTATTTTAAAGAAATACTGAACTATAACTCAAACCAATGAGCCAAGAACTAAGTCTGGCCCAGTACAGACACTAAACGCTTGTCTAGGCAAACAACCAGCACAACCTTTTTGTTTGTTTGCTTGTGTTATTTATGGTTTTCACTCTATATTTGCACTCAGACAAAAGACTTGGATTTACTGAGACTGTTAGGGTCTAAACTCCAGAATATTAATGCACCGTTATAAGCAAAATGCGGTTGGTTTGTGTTTTAAAACTGTCCGATATTGGATGCATCCACAGTAACCATACACGCAGAAAAGGTGGGATACTGAGATAGTCTACTGTGTAATTATTTTGCACTGGGCTACTATTGATATATAATCGTAAAAGATATACAACTAGGGCCATAACTGCACATAATAATTAATCTGCATGTGACTAAAATGCATCTCAGGAGCAGGTGCTGCTCTATAACCGGCCAGTATCGTTTCACTGCCCCCTCAAACGGCTCATGAAAACAACTGCAGCTCAGCCACAGAAGTCTTTATGTGGGGGGAAACGTCCAGATGTGACGGTGATTGCCGAGATTAAAAGCTTTGATTTGATTCCGATCACTTTTACGGAGATGTCACCAGTTTGATGTATAGGACTGGAGAGGGAAGTGGCTGCGGAGACATCTGAGCAACCACGACAGCCTAACCATAAACGCATTGACGCTTCATAAATTGGTTTAAGTTTATTGTTCGGTGTCATACAATGTGATAAGTCATATCCCACATGGCCCCCAACACACACACACATAGAGAGAAACAGGGAGGGGGCTTGATACAGACAGACGCACGCTCCATGCCGTTTCCAAATCTGGTGCTGTTTAACAACATGATGGCTGCTGCTCGTTGCATTTCACTCTCTGTTCATGAAACCGACAGGCTTTTTATAAGTGGTTAAATGTCACCAAATAATAGGATCCAAAAACCAAATGTTGCACTTGGACGCGAGACATTAATTAGGTTTGGCTCTTGTGCGCGCGCGTAAACTGCGCGTAAGGCACGCGCTCTTATCTGTGCGGGAGTAGAGGCTGCATAATGATGCTCCTTAATGTCATTAACCTACCATACACGCAAGCGCATGCGTGTATGGGGGGTTAATGGTTAAGTTTTAATAATAAGATTTGTTTAAAGCGTTTATTGTGTGTATGGTAAGAGCTGGTGTGGGGGGGGGCGTCGTGTCCGACTCCGAGGCCACGTACTGTCACGGGGCTACGCAACCTGCACGTTCTCATAGGCTGTTATCATACAGGCTCCAGCTATAGAGGCTGACTAGTAACTTTGACTTCATGGTATAGCTCTGAATGTAGTTCTAAGCTTTTACTTCTGACCTGGTGTCTTGTTATACTTCTAATAATATCTAATTATTTAAGAAAGTAATCTGTACATCAAAGTTTTGAAGCTTTAGGCCCAGGACTTAAAGACACCACGTGGTATAAAACAGTCTACAGGTCATGGTGACAGACTCCAGACTGCGGCAGTGAAACGTATTTCAGACAAGAGCACAATAGAAACCGTTTTGTCCTATTTTACTAATAATATCTGCCACAAAGTTCCAAAGCTCATTCAGTGCAACAAAAGGGACTAAACATAAAAATCTGCAACGTCCCTCATATAACTTTGCTGCTCCCATGGCTTTGTGGCTGTGTGTCCTCGTCCCGTATAGGGTTCATAGGTGAGTTTACCGAGAAACTTAAACTGTTTCAGAGTAAAACTCTCTCCAGGCCGGAGCTGCCTCCTAAAAAGAGCAGCCAAGAGCGACCCTAGCTCTACCTCTTTTTTAAGCATTTAAACTTTAATCCCTTCAAAGAGGGAACCGATCTCTTCCAGGCTGCTAATCCGCTTCACAGTGCTCCAGCTCAGGGGGAGACTTCTCCTCTGCGGAGGCTTTAACTTTGGACTTTTACATTCATGGGACGATTTGACGGAAACAGTAACGGGGAGCTTTGGCATTCATGACGTCTGAGTCAACAGACGGGACACAATGGTCCCATAGAGGCTCCTGAGGGCCCCTGAGAGAGGGACTCCGGCTATAGGGATTATAGGCCCATTAGGGAAATTTTAGCACAGCCCCTTTCTAATCAGAGTTATGGTTAATATGAATGGATCGATTCGCCCTTTTCAGCCATCATTCTGAGTACAAAGCAACATTGTGGAATATTAAAACATTAGGTTATAGTAACTCGAGGCAATAACTGGGAAAGTTAAGCGATTAAACCAGAAACTACACACATGGGAACAGGAAACATTTACAGGCCTAACACAACAGCTATGAAGAATAATTCTAATCCCCGTATTATAATTAATCGTCTGTGTTTTGATGCAGTTTGTCTTGAATTTAGGCTCTTTGCTCAAACGTCAAGCGCCCCGTATACTGACCCCCGTCCATAATAAAAAACAATTGATAAATAAACCTTATATTAACTGGTTTGATTGGGGAAACCTGCAGAACGCAAAGCCAATATCAAAATAATTTTGCTGAGGCGCTTCCTCGTGTTGTTTTTTTTTTGCGCTGTGATCACAAAATGTATTTTACCAGGGGAAACCAAACTGCACTGGTTCTTAAATTCAGAGCCCATTAATCGTCTTTTCTGCAAGAGGGCACGATCTGTGGAGAAACCCTAATTTAATTCCTAACACTTGTTCCCGCTCCGATCACATATTTCCCGTCATGTGGACAGCGACTGGAGATCTGCAGGGCTGCAGGTGAATTGGCCTTAACGAAGCAAGCAGTATAGGATGTGCGCGTCAGGGTGCTGCTGGGGGGAGTCTCTGTGTGATAGATGGCTGGATGGTCTTGGATAAGGGATGAGTAAAGGATTGGACAGCGTCTGAAGAAAAGCCACGCGGGAGGCCCAGGCCGGTATCTGTCCCGTGACACGCGGTGCTGGTGTGGACTCCAAGTGAAGCTGTCAGTCAGAGAGACAGCGCCTGGCAGCTCAAAGAAGAACACGTCATATGTGTCGAAAGCCGTTTTCCTGCTTCAGACTGAGGCAGCCACTGATTCACAGTTCGAGCTTTGTAAAGCGAAGTTAAATGCACACCTAATTGCGGAGATTACACACTGTTACTTCTATTAAGAGTTAATTGAAGTCGGTGTCACTGACACGTAGGGTACGCGCACACACACGCTGATGGCTGCTGTGCAGCTGCTGCAGCCAGGGTCACAAACCAAACCAACCAAACCAACCAGGCCTAACGAGTCTACTGGTGGCACTGCCCTTTAGATGTGGTAAAGATTTATGCAGTCTTTACCCTCCGCATTTTAGGAAATATTCATATCTAGTCAAATGATTTACTTATAAATTAAAATGTGTTTAATGTATATTATGTTTAGACAATTTTTGATTATATGACTTTTATATCTTAACATTATTGTATAAATTCATATTGATTGAATATTACAATTATTTGCGCGCCTCCATTGCTTCATTCTTAAAATTGTTTGGACATTTTGTTATATTGAATTATAAGACCTACAGCCAGGGGTTAGATAGCAAACACAAGTCCGCCAATCCTGGTTTAATTGGAGCCTGTGCGCGTATTGGTTGCGCGCAAAATATTAATAGGATTTATTAGGCCTTATGCTTCTTTTTTATTCCTTACAACTTCAACTCTGCTGACTGTATCAAAGCCAGTGTGTTATCACACACAGCTCTCTACCAGCAGTGTCACTGAAATGTGTCGTGTCATCGCCCCTCTTAAGATCCTCTTCCCTCGGAGCTGGATTTGATTGCGCATAAAATAAAATCAAAAATCACGGATCCCGGCGTTAACATCGGCCTGCGTCTTTACAGCAGCAATGGCTGGCGGTGTGCATTTGATTTGCCCGGTGATGGATGAGAGAGGGT